TTAGTTAAGACTTGGAAGTTATTCTTTTGAACACCTTTCTACTCTCTAATTGTCTCTTTTTCAGTTCATTATAAGATCTCACAGATGTATTATAAGACGTGACAGAAGTGACACTTAGACGAAGTGAAATCAGACACACTAGTTCACAGTGGTAAAGAAATTCTTGAACACCCACTGGAAAAGTATAAACCTTTCCTAGTTTACAGTGACTCTAATGAAAGTTTTATTGCTCTACAGTTTTCACATATGTGCAAGCTTTCGGCATTTGCATTTGCTATTGTTACAGTATTTTTAGAAGGTACACCATGTTCATATTAATATAATTCAAAAAATAGGAATTTACATTATTTATTAGTAGTAATGTGACTAATATAAGGGGGTGGTTGGAGGGTCGCATGAAATCAGCATCATAAGCACATGTTTATCAAAAAACCCCAGTTGATTCCAAGTTTAGAGCAGCCTAAAATAAGCCATGTGTTCTTTGTTGTATTAATTCATTGTCATTTAAATGTGTTTAATGTTCCTTTTGGTTTCTCTGGGGATAAGAAGCGAAAGAAAAAAAATATTCAGTTATTTTCCTGGAACAATATCAAAATTTGTATCTGGCTTAACACATATGACCTTACACTCTTCAGAGGAAGAGAACACATGTTCTGTGAGTAATCCCCTGGTTAAATCTGCAGCCAAGCAAAGGAGCAGTAAGATCAAATTCCAATGTTTTTTCTCCACTAAAGTAAAATTCAGAAATTACATTATCAGGCTTCTACCTTTATGGTCAGTTACAGTTTTCTAGAGAAGAAGTTGACAGGTGGTGGTGTTGGTGGTGGTGGTGAAGGAGAAAGAATTGGTGATATTGGAATTGTTGATGAGAGTGTATGGCTTGCTCCTATGATACCCATTTGGAAAGCTATGCTTCCAGTAGTAGCTATGCTCTTTTTGTCATTTCTGCCTTGTGAAATGAGTAAGAGTAGGTAATACAGCCTGGCCATAGATCATTATTCTTCCCGGTATACAAAGCTAAGCAGAAAATTTAGGGACTATTTATTACTCATGACCTTATTAGCAACAGAAAAAATCATTTGAGGGTTGTATAGACTAATAAAAAGGATTTTTTTTCTTTAACTTAAAAACAAAGCATTCTATTTATTTGTTTGAAAAATTGGGAAGTGTAAACATCAAACTCTTTAGTATAACTGCTGACCTCTGAGGAGAAACTGTTTCCTGGGTTGTACCCATAGCCTATAGAACAGCATAACCCTTGGGCCAAACGAAACCCAGCCAAGAACTAACCCGTATCTTCTAATCTTTGCTCTAAGTCCCGTTTCTCAACCTAGGCACTGTTGACATTTAGGATGGTCCAGTCTTTATTCTAGGGGCCTGTCCTGTGCATTGTAAGATGTTTTAGCAGCATCCGTGGCCTCTACCCACTAGATGCCAGTAGCACCCCACCCTCTGGTTGTGACAACCGAAAATGTCTTCAGACATTGCCAAATGAGAAGTACAATCACTCCTATGGCAGCCTCTCCCCACCCCAGTTAAGAACCATTGCTCTAAGTATGGGGTGCGGCACACATAATAATACAAGAATAAACTGTTGTTTCTCTTACAACTGTAAACCTACTTTTGTCCCACCCTGTACATTGGTGATTTGTTGATAAAGAATATTTCTAGATTTTGGTTTTAATTTATAATATTTTAAGTATTTTGGTATAGAATAGGCTTTACTTTTAAGAGCTATAAAAATAACCTGGGAGCACTTTTTCTAATTTGGGCGTAAAAGTGAGGTCAAGATCTTTCTTTGATTGTAGAGTTGAACATTAGGACCTTTGGATGCCTAGTGCAGTGTGTTGCTTTTTTCAGACTGCATTAGGTTGGGACTCTTTAGTGAGTCAAGGCCCTGTACAGGCTAGTCAAAATGTAAAATAACAGAGAAAAGCATTTGCAAACTGGTCTAATGAGTATAAGCCCAGCATTCCCTTTCTAACTAGAATATTCTAAACATATACCTCAGCCGTAGGTGTTCATCCTGGCCACCTAAGCTATTTATCTAGTCAGGTTAAACTTATCAAGTAGTCTTTGAAATATGCAGCATTCACATTTGTTCATTGCAGTAGACTTAAGACTTTTAACTTTGGTTTCTGGTGCATATCATCTTGTTTGCAAGAGGAGGAAGCTCTGAACTCCATCACATATTTTAAAACATTCTTGGCACATTACTTGTGGACTGTTGGTGCCCTCCCCCTCCACAAGATACTGAAAAAGGACAGCTCCATTTAATTGTTCTCTTCATCAGTGTGCACACTAAAGTCCTGTTTTTCATCAAGTAGTATTTATTGTGTTAATTTAAGTAGAAAGTATATGCTTTATGGAGGAAAGGACAAGAAATGTTTTGTGTATTATTGAGACTCAAACAGAAATATGAGCATAAGACAAAAATTACTACTAACACTCTGCTTATACTTTCTGTAAAATCCATTTTAAAATCACAACCTTAAGTAACAGCCTATGGGGAATACATTAAATGCAGCAACCTGCCATTACTAAGTCAAGAATTCAGCTGTTAATAGGAAATTCTTGGCTTTCTGAAATCCATCAACACTTCCAGCCACGGAAAAAGCTGCCTTAGTTTCTGTTTCCTAAAAGAAATACATTTATATTTTGACTTACTTCATTTATTCAGTGGCTACATTTTAAAGATCAAAACATTTCCAGAAAGCTTGTATTTATCTTTTCAGTGATAAGAGAACATTTCAGACTAGTTTCATGTTAGAAACTCTATCTTAGGGTAGTTGTTTGTTTGTTTTTTTCTCTAAGGAAAAATGTTAATGATTGTTCAAAAGTTACTTACATTATAATTCATTTATTTTCACAGTGAGGGTTTTATATTCCTATGTTTCCAATTTAGATGATCTCCAACAGAGATATTCAAGGTATTTTCATGATAGTTTCAGGAAAAATTTGTGTGTATGTGTGTGTTTTCTCTGATTTGTATCACATTCTAAGTTTTATATTTGCAAAATATCAGTGGGTGTATCACACAAAAATTCACATGTTTATTTTATGGTGCCTTTATGCATTATTATATTAATGAGTTGGTATGCCTAGTTCTTGTGTATAGGATGAAAGGAGGTGTAGAAGATAGGTAAAGTTTCACACTGATTAAAAGCTAAGCTTTATAGGAGAGAGATTTACGTAGGAAGCCAGATTGTAAATACTGACTAACCTTTAAAAGTAGCTTAAGTAACAGTACTCATATGGATTTGAGAATAAAAATTCTTTATCAACAAAGGATTTGAAGCATAGTCATCAGAATCTAGGTCCAGAGCTGTTGTTTCTTCATTAAAGGTAGTTTTGAGACAAGATTTAAATTATTTCATCTATAATAATAAAAGTGTAATATGCTTATTAGACCAGACGTCCTTTCTGATGACCTTCTGGATGAAGCCGAGGCTGTGAGGGAAGCCCAGGTTCTGGGTGCCAGAGGGAAGCCAGTGCCTGCAGCTGGGGGAAGGAAGGGCTACTCCTGCACGAATTTTGTGCATCAGACCTCTAGTAGGTTAATAAACATTAATAAACATTTGCTTTGCAACTACTACTTGCTAGATACTATGTTAAGTTCTTATTCATAGGCCATTAAAGCTTTCATCTGTTCTACTAAATGATACCAGTTCTACATTGTTCTTAAAAATAATATTTCAAGATAATGGTAAGATAACAGAACATTCTATGACAGCCATCTCTATCCATATTAAGATTAAAACCCAGCAGTGTCACTTTCAGTATTGTTTTTTTGTGCAAGCACCGAACTATTTCAAACAATGATTATCAATAGCTCTTTTGAACGGGAAAATACTTATCATTTTAAAAAGATGTATTAATCTTCCTATTAAAAAGAATGTATTTGAATCCTGTCATTAAGGAATGCTAAACTGTAGAATCGGAGCAGCAGCTGAAAGAAACCCTTCTCATCAATAATGCATGTCTCCTGCCCAGTAAAATAACACATTTCATAAGAAAGGAATGGATGTACATATTTTATTTTTACAAACAATGTGTTAAGTTACCTGAGTTTTCATATCCAATTTCTGAAGAAATTTCTAGAACAAATAATGCTACTACCAAGATATTAAGGTCATTTCCCCTAATCTTTAAATAAACATTTTCTCATCATTTTGTAGGGAAACAATGAGGCTTTTGCAGAGGGATTACTAAACAGTCGAATTTCAGTAGAATATAAAATTAAACTTCAATAAATATTGCTTTAATGCCTTCAAGAAGGCATGCCTTGCAGTGTGTCATATAATCAGTGATGGCATTATCTTTAGTATATAGTAAGTACTTTCAGAAATCATTCACCTCACAGATTTTAGAAGAGGTTTGTGATATTTGTAAATGAATAGGTGAAACTAGTCACATACTTTCATTTTTATAGTTTTCATTTACTTCAAATAATTACTATGGTCCTAGCTGGTTTGGCTCAGTGGATAGAGCGTCGGCCTGCGGACTGAAGGGTCCCGGTTTCGATTTCGGCCAAGGGTACATGCCTGGGTCGTGGGCTCGATCCCCAATGGGGGGCATGCAGGAGGCAGCCGATCAATGATTCTCTCTCATCATTGATGTTTCTATCTCTCCTCCCTTCCTCTCTGAAATCAATAAAGAAATATATTAAAAAATAATTACTATGAATTGATATTCTTCAAGTTTGGATTTATGACATGTATATATATTTTTTGCCAAATTATGTTTACTTCTAATTCAGATTGGAAGGTCCTTTGAACTCAAAAATTATAAAGTTAATTATTGATTATTTTTACCTAACCTTGCTCTCTTGGCTCCTGTATATAGATATCCTAAGAACTATGTCATCTTTTTTATCTTGTGTAAAGAAAGTATTGGTAGTATAAAATATATAATAGAATACATTTTTTAAAATCCTTTGTATTTACAGTTTAAGTTAAAGATGTAAGAATAATTTATTGTTCTTTTAACTCTTTTTAAAGGTGATGGATGTGGACACACTGTACTAGGCCCTGAAAGTGGAACCCTTATGTCTATAAACTACCCACAGACCTATCCCAACAGCACCGTTTGTGAATGGGAGATTCGTGTAAAGATGGGAGAAAGATTGCGCATCAAATTTGGTGACTTTGACATTGAAGATTCTGATTCTTGTCATTTAAATTACTTGAGAATTTATAATGGAATTGGACTTAGCAGAACTGAAATAGGTAGGAAATTTTCTTATAAATGTACATGTAATACATTATTGCCTGAGTTTTACAACTAAAGCAGTTTTCGATACTTATGATTGAATAACTACTATATGGATAATAATGTGGGAAATTATTGAAAGCCTGTGTGAATCTCAAATTTGAATCTTTTGGGAAGAGACAATATTTATCTGTTTGTTTGTTTACCTTTGTAACAAGCCTGTGCTCGTACCCTTGCAACAAAATGCCACTGTAATATTTCTAAGGAGAAAGTTAATTATCTAATTTTTTTTCTTTGATCATTTTATTTGCAATTAAAGAATACAAATATAATTTATGCTTATGAGGCCAGTATATCATGGTCATTAAGAACAAGGGCTTTTGATCCAAACTTCTTGATATTTAATCCTAACTCTGCTGTTAGCTTGCTCTGTGACCCTGGGCAAGTTACCTGACCTCTCTGTTTCCTCACTTATAAAATAACAAATGAACTCATTATTTAAAGTACTTAGAACAGTATATAAAATACAACACATGCTTAGTAAATATTGCTGTTATTCTTAATCTTAGCTAAGAGCAGTGGTTCTCAATTATGGCTACATATTAGAGTCACCTGGAAAGACTTTTGAATAATACTGTTTAAATAATACCTGGTCCTCACCTTACCAGTGGTTCTCAACCTTCCTAATGCCGAGACCCTTTAATACAGTTTCTCATGTGGTGACCCCCAATTTCATTGTTACAAATTAAACATAATTAAAGCATAGTGATTAATCACAAAAACAATATGTAATTATATATGTGTTTTCCGATGGTCTTAGGCGACCCCTGTGAAAGGGTCGTTCGACCCCCAAAGGGGTCGCGACCCACAGGTTGAGAACCGCTCCCTAAAACCCATTGAATCAGAATTGATTGGGTGGGAGCCATGCCTCAGGAGTTTAAAGTTCCAAGGATAACGCACTTTGTAGTCTAGTTAGGAACCTTTGGCTTAGAGAGCAGCACCTTGCTCTTAAGCAAGAAAGGTGGAAATTTTTATAAGGTGTTTGGTAAACTAACATCATAAAATAAAGAATTCTTGGGTTTTCTGAATTTATTTGGAAACATTTATTGGTACAAGTGTGTAAAATATCTTTTAGAACCATAATTGGAACCCAGTATCTTGTTCTTTGAACATCTTATTTGTCCTCTGGCTTCCTCTCCATCTATAGTCAAATCCTTCTCTACTTTTTTGCCTCTTATCTACCAAAGGAACAATTCCTTCCCTGCTTCTCTGACCATTAATTGATAACTTCTGTTGCCCCTGTTAACTCTGGATTAACCTGGTAGCTTGGTCACCACATGCACATTGTCGTGAGTATGTGGTATCGGATAAGCTTTTAGGAACGAAAATACCCAGTGATTTAGAAACACTATTACTGTAACTCTAATAGAGAGCAAGTGGATATCAAATGCCTCCTGAGGTGATGCAGTACAGAGTAAACAGTACCACCTGAGCAGTCTTGCAACAACAATGAAGAAAGGTGAACCACAGTGTAATCAAGCCCACGGCCGTTCAAGGGAAGAAAGGAGCTAGAGAAACACATGCTGTCAACCCTAAAGTCTGTGTAGGCATACCTTGTTTTACTGCACTTCACATAGGTGGCATTTTGTTACAAATTGAAAGCAAGAACCTCCACTAGCAAAAAGATTGTGACTGACTTTATTGCGCTTCCTGCTTTGTTGCAGTGGACTGCAACTAAACCCGCAGCGTCTTCGAGGTCTCACCTTTTAGAAATGCCATTTATAAAAAGAAAGGGGAGGAAGTGGAAGGAACTGTCATATACAGGGTGGGCTAAAGTAAGTTTACAGTTGTTTGTATGGAAAATAAGGTAATAATAATTAATAAATAATGATACAAGAATAAAATCTTGTACTCACAACTATAAACCTACTTTTGTCCCATCCTTTATTGAGCTACATCTCCAAAAGTGATGTGTATATCTTGTTTGTATCTTGATTTAAGCTAACCAACTACAAAAAGATATTTTTAAGGTAATTAGAGATATTTTAAGAAGAATTGGGCATTCAGTTATAGTCAAGAATGATTGTTGTTTTTGGCATGATAATATTATTTAAAGATCTAATTTGTTAGAGATATTCTGAAGTCAAATGAAATGTCTTAAATTTGTTTTTAAATATTTCAGGGAGAACAAAAGGTAGGTGACACAACAATGACATATAGGTGAAGCTGAGCCATGGGCACACCAGAGTTGTTACACTCTCCTCTCTCTACTTTTATATATATACTAAAGGCCCAGTGCAGGAAAATTCGTGCACTGGGGATGGGGCATTCCTCAACCCGGCCTGCCCTCTCTCAGAGTCGGGAGCCCTCAGGGGATGTCCTACTGATGGCTTAGGCCCTCTCCCTGCAGAGTGTGGCCCTAAGCTGCAGTCTGGCCTTCCTCTGCAGGAGGCAACCAGGCAGATCAGGTGAAGGTGCCCCCCACATCACCCTGCCACTGCTGCTGCCAGCGCCGCAGCTGTCTGCCCTCGGCTCTCACAGCCACCGCAGCTGCCTGCCCTCAGCCCTTGCAGCTGCCACCTGCCCTTGGCCCTCGCAGCTGCCACAGCTTTGTCTGGAAGGACGTTTGGCTGTCTGGTGTAATTAGCATATTATGTCTTTATTATTATAGAAGACTAGAGGCCCAGCGCATGAAATTTGTGCACTTGGGTGGGTCCCTCAGCCTGGCCTGCGCCCTCTTGCAGTCTGGGAGCCCTCGGGGGGTGTCCAACTGATGGCTAAGGCCCGCTCCCCATCAGTTGGACATCCTTAGCGCTGCTGCAGAGGCGGGAGAGGCTCCTGCCACCGCCGCTTCACTCGCCAGTTGTGAGCCCTGCTTTTGGTTGAGCAGTGCTCCCCCTGGGGGAGTGCACTGACCACCAGGGGACAGCTCCTGCATTGAGCGTCTGCCCCCTGGTGGTCAGTGCACGTCATAACGACTGGTTGTTCCACTGGTCGGTTGATTTGCTTATTAGCCTTTTATTATATAGGATTTTAAAAGTTTCCATAATGAAAAGGTTTTTCTTTAAATAAAAGGGTTGTATGCTGGGACAATAACTACTATTATTGTTAGAGAGGTTGAGTGATGTGAGAAACATTTTGAGCACAGGTTTTAAATCGCTTACTGGGTTCTCATCGCTGCCATAGGACTTACTTGCTGAAAGTCAACCCTGCCCAGACTTCAGAGTCATCCTCTGTACTCTTGGAAGATGAAATGCAATAATACTTTGCAATGCTTGGGATATAGTAGGTGTATAATAGCTCTCAGCTTTCCCTTGCTTCCATTGTTTTTGTTTTTCCTTATTCTTTCTTCCCCTGGAGGAATAAAAAGCTGCAGAAAGGTAAAAGGGTGGATGTAGTAGATGTACAGTAAATCTCAGCTCTCCCTTATTTCCATTGTTTTTGTTTTTCCTTATTCTCTCTTTAACTGGATGAATTAAAAGCTGCAGAAAGGTGAAGGGTACTGAGTCATGATGGTTCCTGTTGGGTTTTAGTTTGCTCCCTCCCCATAACATCGCCTCCTATCACATACCCCTGGTCCTCCATTTGGATAGCACTCTTTGTTTAGTGAGAGAAAGGTAACTACCGTGACATTGCAGAGAAATGGAGATCATTTGAGAATAGTTGTTCGATGTTCAGATTAATGTTGATATGCAGAGAATTACAGAATAGAAACAAATACATTGTTAGCATCAAGATTCCCGTGTTAATGGTAGTGAATCTTCTTTTTCCTGTTTCATCTCTTCTCAGTGCCCTTTTCAAAAAGAGGCAGGCCCAAGTATCTCGTGGTTCCCATTTTTTGGTGACTTTGATATAAAGCTTAAGTTTGTGGGTTTTGTCTATAACTTTTAATTTTAGGAATATTTGCCCCTGAGAGATGGTATTATGGAATAATAAAGAAAATGAAAAGGAGAATGGTTTCTTAAGGAATTATTTCTTCAGTCCTCACTAAATTCATTGGATTGTGTTTTAACTGACAAGGCACTTTCAGTTATTTGGCAGTTGGACAGTCATTGTCTGTTTCCTTGGAAATGTGTAATATTCTTTAAATGAATGTATTTTGATTTTATATAACTATATTCTAAACTGATAAACTTTACAGAAATCTTTGTGAAATTAACTCATTGTATTGGTACTCATTTCACTGACAGATAGGATGTGCTTAATGATAGAGTGCAGATTGGCTCTGTAGGTCTGAATTCTGTTCCTTTTCTAAGGCAAATTGAATTGAAATGAGAACATCCCATTGCGCCTTGAATATTAAATTTCTTTTTTGATTACTCTTTAATCCTTTGTGTCTGAAACATAATAGTTGCTCTATAAAGATGGATGTAAAGTAAAAAATCCATTTGCTATCAATATCAACCTTTTCTATTCATATACAAATATTTATCTCCAAACTATTTTATAATATATATCTTTTCTCTCAATATTTAGATATTTTTTCATGTTGATCTATAGACATCTGCTAGTATCATTTCCCCATGGAAATTAATTATTGCCAATTAATCCAAAAATGAAATTTAGACACAAATGTTATTAAAAAGAAAAGTCTTTGCTTATTTGTAATCTTTTCTTATTCTATATATTTTCTGTATTTTGCTTAAAGTTTTCGATTTAAATGGAGGGAGGAGGGCAATTGTAGGTGGATCTCTAAAAGAGAAGCTAAATATTTTAAAGCTTTATAGGCATTAAGGAAAATGCATTCTGTAGAAGAAATGTAAAAGTGTGTGTGTATATGTATTCAAAGTTATATTTAAAGATATACATTCTGTCTTATACCTTTAGCCAAGGTGCCTTTTTAAATTATGTCTCTTAAATCCTCATGATATTTATAATGAGAAAGACTGAGGCCCTTTGGGCTTCACTTCATAAATGATTACGTGTCTCTAGCATTTTCAGTTTTTCTTTCTGGATCGTTTGTCTCCTCTCTCTATAATGTGCTTAGGTCTTCCTATTTTAAGAGGAAAAAGATAAA